TTCTTGATATTATCAGTTGCAGTTCATGGTGTTACTAAAAATATACCAGACTTTGTGTATTTTTTTGATAATAATATTTTCCGGCGTTTAATCCAGTTCAAAGTGTAATCCCAAATTAATGTCATGTGGGCAAGTGAAGATTATTAGTGAAGCTTAAGTTATGTTGTGCATTTTGCACGATCCATCCCTCCTGGGGATCATTTCGGGGTCGGCATCATTTCGGGGTCGATTGGGGATCATTTCAGGGTTGGGGATCATTTCGGGGTCGGGATCATTTCGGGGGCTGTACACATCAAGCAGTCAAATAATAACAAGAGACCGTCGCGAGAACAATAGAACCATCTTGACCAAACACATGTCTGAACTGGCAAACTTACGTCCGATCAGGTCAAGTGTAGTCATAGACAGGACAAAAAGTGGCCTCTAAAAAAAACGCAAATCTGAGCGGAAGAACGGACATCAAAACAAACGAAACCAACAACCCCGTCTAATTGAACCTTTAATCACTCTAGGTGGCGGATACTAGCCGATTTTGTTCATTAACAAGGTAATTACGTCTCAAAATAAAAGTGCCCTCATTTAAGTTTCATCATCCCTTGTCTCTTTTCTCTTCTCGTTGCCTTTAGAGGAAAGTTAATAGTTAAGAATATTAGAAACGTGAGACAGAACTTGAGCGTCTTATTTACGCAAACGCATTTGATAACCAGCAATGTTAACCGTCTCTGATCGGATTCAAATCCCTTCCAAAACGACTCATAAAGACAGAGGAACAAAGGTAAATACATATTATTATTTTATTAGCTAATACAGCGTTAATACATCTATTTTTTTTCAATTAGCTAATACAGCGTTAGGGTTCCGGAGAGCTTTTTTAAAGCAGCAGACATTTTTGAGGTCACGGACGTGAGGAAGGTTGCGCCCGGTCTGGATCGAGTACGGCGTTTGTGGCGCGAAAAAGCGAAGATTTAAAAGCAATGAATGGTTTTTGTATAACGCGAGTCATGGACGTCTTGTCTGTGTTTACTTTTAGCTATTTGAAATGTCTTCACTCATGACGTAGCATTTCGAATTTCAGAAAGATCTTCGTCGCTGAAGGGGACTTGTACATTTTCTTTGTCCCATTCTCATCTGAACATTTCACCTTTCAAGTTTATTCGCCAAGCTTGAAATGCCGTCTTGTTCGATTTGATTGTGTGGACACTAATCGAGAGAACAAAAATTACCATACATGACAGAGAAGTTTAGCAGTCTATTTTATTTCCACTTTCATTAACCCCAAATGAGATTTAGTTTGCTATTCATTTTCAAACTCGATTGCGCCAAATATCATTAGCCTGCGAACCGAAGCGACGACCGGAAATGCGTCTGCTGTTCGCAGGTTAAAAAAAGTTTTCAGGATATAAATAATCAACCCAATGCACAAAAACACGCGGTCATAGCATTTTAATTTAATATTTTTCATTGTAAAACAAATTATCAAATCAAACAATCGAAATTATCGGCCCTTGAAGTTACAAGAAGATAAAGCTCGCTTAAATAAGATGTGAGTTCACTTGACGATGATTCGCATGGACTAAAATTGAGTAAATCTTACAGGGCTGTCAACTCTCCCGGATAATCCGGGAGACTCCAGATTTCAAACCGTTTCTCCCGGTCTCTAGATTAGAGTCTCAAATCTCCCGGATAATCGCCGAAGTTTGCTATTTCTTGTAGATTCGACTCTCTGACGATGAAATTTCAAATATTTTGCGTTGTTTGAGCTATATATTTTTCTATTAACAGTGAACGTTTCCTCACAAACTCCGGTAGGCCATTGTAATATAAGCAATAATGTGATGGGTGGGAAGTAAACCAATTAGCTCAAATGTTAAAATTAAAACAACATCTTTTTCGTGCGTTTTTTTCCTCCAAAAAATGACGTCATGTGCCCTGCATTATGACGTCGTCTATCACCCACTCCCCATCAATTCTCAATGTTTGAAGACGTGGGGGGTTGACAGCCCTGATCCTACGTAAATCCCGTAAATCTTGCCATCTTCGAGTTCTGCAGCCAGCCGGGCTAGCCGGGTCAACCTGTCGAGTCCAAAAATAGAGTTAGTGTTAACCTGATGTTTACATATCTGAGAACACCGAAAAATAGCAGAGGGATTTTTCTTTGGTTGTAGGCCAACAATTTAGGAATAATTCTTACCCAACCGCGAACTTTCGAATACTAGAATCTCGCGTTCTATCTTGAATTTCAAAACTGGCGTTCTGGCGTCGGCGACCTGACCTCGCGGACGTAAACACACGCGCAGTACATTCACACTAGCGCGAATTTAAAGCGCGAATGACTTCCGTTCGGCGTTTGTGACCTCAAGAACGTCCGCTACTTAAGCTCTAGTGAAGCAAGTTAGCCTCCCACGCAGACGTTCTTAGGGGTTCGTACTCCTTAGAACGTCTGCGTAAGAGGCTAGAAGCAAGGCGACGACCGGAAATACGTTAGGCCTCCCACGCAGACGGGCGTTCTTTGGGCTTCGTCATGAGTTCACAACGTCTCGGGGGCTACCACAAAAATGGTATACGGGGAGGCTCCACCCCGAGGTTGGACCCCTTAATTACCCTTTTATATACCGTTTCTGACAGAGAAGTCCCCCCTTTCGTATACCTTCTACTGATAAATGATCCCCCTTTCACACACCAAGTATAGAACTTTGCATCCCTTTCAACAACTGTAAATGCATTGTCTTTAACATATCATGAATAAATCACAAAACCAGAACGTTTTCTCAACTTTTTCACTGCCTTAAAATGCACCTGTTCGCCCTTTTGAGCCTTTTTACCAACGAAATGACATATTTCGCTACACATTCATATACTTCAACAAGTGAAATCCATAACATTTCATTGACCTGAAGGCTGAAAAGTGTTACCCTTTCGGGAGGAGCCTCCCCGTATAGGCCATTATAGGGAGTAACTTCCCCCCCCGGGGGGGTGGCGTGAACACACAATTACAAGGTCCACAGGTGCAAATGAAAATAATGGGTCATCTCACCATAACTCAGTCTAGGAGTGAAAGTGTTTAAGTGCTAAGAGAAATTTTCGTGTACCGTTTTTAAGACAAATCTCAGTGGCAAGAAAATCAATGAACTTGCAGAGAACTTTGTATAACCTGCTTTGTTCTCTTTTGCTTTGTGATCGTCATCTTCCCCCGCACTCTAAACCTGTCTATGGGACGGTGGTGCTACCCGTCGCCCCTTCCCCACCAATCTCGACTCGAGAGCCTTTTCTTTTCAGCCGCGCACAGAAAAGAAGCTCCGGAGTCGACAGAGCTTGCATATCGAAAAGAGCGCACTTCTAGACAAACAGATTTAATCTCCTTCCTGCTTCTATCCTTCTTCTACCCTACTTTTATATTCTTCTAGGATATCTGTTACCCTCAACTTGCCATCCAAACGAAGCACTGTTCGAAAAGGCCTAGAACTCTTAAAATTTGTGCACTGATCAAAATAAAGTAAATCGTCATTAATGTGTTTGACAATTAAGGGAGACACTGACATCGAATGAAATACATGATCTAGTAGAAGCCCCTTTTCAAATACAAATAAAGGCCCGGCTCTTGTCTTAAATTAATCGACTTTCCACACACTGTTTGTAAGAGAGATGCCCCTCACTATTAAACGCCCCTTGTCTAACAAATGCCTTCCCATGACCATTACTCTACAATACTCGAAATAGAGCAAAATCATTCAATTCACTGGTATTTGGTTTATTGCTTGATTGACAATGGTTTGTACATTGCATCTTGTTCAATGTCAAGTTCAAAGTGAGGAAAGTGCTCTTTGATATTCTGGATGTGCTCAATACATCAGCAACTTTCGTCGGGCCGGTTCTACCTTGATAGCAAAGTAATCAGTTCTTGAAGCATGTTAGTTGTGTTGAGGTTTTTACAGTTATCAGAATAAACTCCACCCACTTACACCTGCTCCACTCCCTCCATTCTCCCCCCCTCCCCACCACCCCCCACCTCTTGACCCTAAATAAAACTAAATAAAAGTCCCTGGCGTCTATTAGATCATTATTGGTACTGTCGTAGACACGCATTGCTGATTGAGCCAGGTCCATGGAAAGCAAGGTGTGTTTAAAGCCCAGACGCAATCGTTTATCAGGGGCACTCAACGTCAATTTTCGGAAAATATCTGTTCGGAAAACGATTTGAGATCTAGAGTTTTCGGAACATTTGTTGAAAAATTGCTTGCTTGCCTGCCTCTCCTAGGATTTTCGAACATCTAAAAAATGGTACAATTGCCCATTTTTAACGGATTTTTACCCTAAAAAGGTCACCTGGAATTTTTCGGGAGCCTTTTTTCTGGCTGAGATTTTCGATAAGGTAAGTTTTGATCCCTATAATTTTTGGATCACTAGACTTTCACCTAGGAAATCCCAACAGATTAAAAATTTTTAGGGGATAAAAATATGCCTATATCTACCGTTGAAATACTAAAATACGTTTAACGATGCTATGTTTAAGTGGTTTTGAGCTATATTCCCGTTGGGTGGCCCTGGTTTATCTACCAGCGCAGAACTATAGCTACTTACCTAGACTGCAAAACAGTCCGTATTTTTGCGTATTCAAGTACGCGCGAACGGTCAAACAAAAGGTCTGGAACGAGGCTAAAACAGAGTGCGAGACTGGGGAGAGACGCTTACGGGCGTGTGAGGCTCGCGCGCTTTGCGTGCGTAAGACTCTTACGCCACGCTTTACCGATTTCTTTACTGATCTTGAGAAAAAAACCCGACTGTTTTGCAGTCTACTACTTACCTAGCGTTCCCTATTAAACTTAGTTTATCATTAGTTACTTGCTTTTCAGAATCATTTTATGGAATAACTGTGTTACATAATCAGCGGTAATTCTTGCCATCTTCAAAATGATTACAATGTAGTAAATAATCTTTGTTTTGGCCTGACGAGAAAATAAGCTAATAGGCAATATCTCTTACTAGGATTATAAGTTGGTTGGCACATTTTCAAAAACGAATGGGATTTCCTTTATAAAGCAACGTTAACTGGAGAATGGAAAGACACGGCACAAAATGGACATGATTTTTACAACAAAGAATCTAAAGCAAGTCGCAAGAAAAACGCCCGATCTCTGGCAATAATCAACAATGGTGACACGGCAGAGTGGGACTGTACCTGTTTGTTTTTTGCCATTCTGTACTCGGACAGCATTGGTAAAACCTTAAGCCCAGGTGTCCGTAAAGAGGTCGATGATATTCGTCAGGTGCGAAACGAGATTGCTCATATCACCGAGGCTAAGTTGACAGATGCCGACTTCCAAAATTCTGTAGACAGAGTGTTGAACGCTTTTACATCCCTTGGTCTGGCTATAACTGAGATTCAAGAAATAAAGAACCAGAAGACCTTTCCGACGAAGGAAGTGGAAAAAATTAGGAAGCAAGTTTGTGATCTCCAAATCGAGTTAGATCAGACAAAAAGCACTCTTCAAAGTACCGAAGCTGCCCTGGTTTCTCTCACACAGGAAATAAGTTGGGAACTTCAGCCATTTTGCATTCTCGCATTGTGCCCACCACACGATACTATCAGGCGCTCGCATGATATTGAAAGAATCACTAACGAAATGAAGGAACTTTACAAAAGTTCAACTGGGTCAGTCAGTACAGTGTATTTGTCAGGAAATCCAGGATGTGGCAAGAGCCAACTTGCCCGGGAAATCGGACAACAGTTCTTTTCTAAACAAAACAATGATCTTATCTTTGTGGCGACACTGAACACAGAAAGCATTGACAAACTTGCTGACTCTTACCTCACCCTTGGGAGACACTTAGGGATAACAGAATACGCGTTGAAAGGTTTAGAATCTATAAAAGAAGAGAAACCTAGTGAAGCAATTAAACAGCTCCATCGCTTGATTTTGCCGAAGACCAGCAAGTTTACCAAATGGTTGATAATAGCAGACAATGTGATTGATTTACGCTTAGTCCGCGACTTGCTTCCTCAAACTGGCAGTAAAGAATGGGGCCATGGGCAAGTGCTGATAACCACTCAAGATAGTGGAACAATTCCTCAAAACGCTCCCCACATGTATCAGGAATCGTTAAGCAAAGGAATGAGGCGGGACGAGGCAGTGGAATTGCTGAAAACAGTATCGCGAATTTCCGAGCGAGTACAAGCAGAAAATGTCGCTGAACTTCTCGATTTTCAGCCACTGGCCTTAGCTGCTGCTGCTTATTTCGTGCAAACTGTTGTGACCAGTGGGTCTTCAAATTATAATTGGAAAGCATACCTTCAAGACATATCAACATACAGCCAGCGAAAATCGGCCGAAACTGTCCTTGCTAATGAGAGTCCAGCCTACGCTAAAACAACATTGGCCGCAGTGGAAATGGCTATCCAAAGAGCTGTTGAAACAGACGAGGTTCTTCTTCATACATATTCTTTTCTTTCGCTCTGCGCTAACGACGACCTACCACTCGAAACTGTTTTAAAGTTCGTCAAAGCCCAAGTAAAGGAGCATCCAGAGGTTTTAATGAAGGCAAACATTGTAAGGTCCTCTTTAAGTCTTTTTCATTCCGAGGAAGGGGGTGAACGAACTTATTTACGTTTACATAAAGTTGTACACGACGCTTTGAAACGAGGCGAGATAGCTAACCTGAAATCATACCGGGAGAGTGACCACACCATGGCAGAAGCGGTAAAGATCTTCAACTCCCAACTCGAAGAAAATTACGAGAATTATGCGTTTTGTAAAAAATTGAGGCCCCACTGTGAATCTTTACTTAAGCAGATGACGTCAGAGTTTAGTTCAGATAAAAGTACTTTTTCAGAAAGGTTTGCGCTCTTCATAGATTTGGATACAGTTATTGATTGGTTGCATAATCTCGCCAGGGTCTGTCAAAAAAGCTCCTATTTCTTCTTTGCGAAAAGTGTGGTTAACTTAGCAAACGACCTACTGCGGAACTTAGACGACATTTCAACAGGTGCGTTTGCTCGTAAAGGAAGGATTTTGAATGTAACTGGCCAAGTGCATCACGGGCTGGGAGAATACAATCAAGCCAAAGAACTTCACGAAAAAGCACTGATAATTCGCAAAAAGATTTTTGGTGAAGATCATGCCGATGTAGCAACAAGTTATAACAACTTGGCATTAGTGTACGACACTCTGGGAGAATACAATAAAGCCAAAGAACTTCACGAAAAAGCACTGATAATTCGCAAAAAGATTTTTGGTGAAGATCATGCCGATGTAGCAACAAGTTATAACAACTTGGCATTAGTGTACGACACCCTGGGAGAATACAATCAAGCCAAAGATCTTCACGAAAAAGCACTGATAATTCGCAAAAAGATTTTTGGTGAAGATCATGCCGATGTAGCAACAAGTTATCACAACTTGGCATTGGTGTACAAACGTCTGGGAGAATACAATCAATCGAAAGAACTTCACGAAAAAGCACTGATAATTCGCAAAAAGATTTTTGGTGAAGATCATGCCGATGTAGCAACAAGTTATAGCAACTTGGCATTAGTATACGACACCCTGGGAGAATACACTCAAGCAAAAGAACTTCACGAAAAAGCACTGATAATTCGCAAACAGATTTTTGGTGAAGATCATGCCGATGTAGCAACAAGTTATAACAATTTGGCATCAGTGTACGACACCCTGGGAAAATACAGTCAAGCCAAAGAACTTCACGAAAAAGCACTGACTATTTACAAAAAGATTTTTGGTGAAGATCATGCCAATGTAGCAACAAGTTATAACAACTTGGCATCAGTGTACGACAGCCTGGGAGAATACAGTCAAGCCAAAGAACTTCACGAAAAAGCACTGACTATTTACAAAAAGACTTTTGGTGAAGATCATGCCGATGTAGCAACAAGTTATGACAACTTGGCTTTAGTGCACTACACCCTGGGAGAATACAATCAAGCCAAAGAACTTCACGAAAAAGCACTGACTATTTACAAAAAGATTTTTGGTGAAGATCATGCCGATGTAGCAACAAGTTATAACAACTTGGCATTAGTGTACCGACGCCTGGGAGAATACAATCAAGCCAAAGAACTTCACGAAAAAGCACTGATTATTTACAAAAAGATTTTTGGTGAAGATCATGCCGATGTAGCAACAAGTTATAACAACTTGGCATTAGTGTACTACACCCTGGAAGAATACAATGAAGCCAAAGAACTTCACGAAAAAGCACTGATAATTCGAAAAAAGATTTTTGGTGAAGATCATTCCGATGTAGCAACAAGTTATGACAACTTGGCATCAGTGTACTACACCCTGGGAGAATACAGTCAAGCCAAAGAACTTCACGAAAAAGCACTGATAATTCGCAAAAAGATTTTTGGTGAAGATTATGCCACTTTAGCAACAAGTTATGACAACTTGGCTTTAGTGTACGACACCCTGGGAGAATACAATTTGGCCAAGGAACTTCACGAAAACTGCACTGACGATTAGGAAACAAATTTTCGGTGAAGATCGTGAGTTGATAGTGAGTTGGCATTAGTAAACAAACACCTTGTAAGCAGTCGAGCTGAGGATCGGCACGTAGAAGCATGCTGTTTGATCCTATAAATTTTCTGCAATTTAGGCTGCGTAGCAGTCACTTCTGTTGCCTTTTAGCCAAATACGGTGATTCGTTTTCTTTCCCACCCCTTCCCTCTGTTTCTAGTTTTGTGCTCCTTCTTATGCTCCATGCCCTCGCGCGTCTGGTTTGCTTTTCCCACTCAGCTAAAAGGAAACGGAAACGAGTGCTACGCAAGAGAGTTGGAGGGTCCCCAATAAGTTATTCGGTATCCGAGATCTGGCTTATTCTTAGGCTGGGATACTGAATTTTAAGAAAATTGGAGAGGGAGATGCGGAATTGTAATATTACCAACTCCCTATAAACGGGATACGAGATTTAGCGATTTAATTAATGACGAAATGTTGTTGCTCATACTCACGAAAAAAAGAAAACCTTTTCATAAATGGCATGAAAGATGTTGCTCATCGTGGCTGTATAAAGGGTTTCGGTTATCGTTAAAATTATGTATGTATGCGTGCGTGAAAAGATGGTAGGCAAAGTAATTCGCTATCCAGATTCCGTATTTAATGAATTTCCGAACATGTATTTTATAATTTACTTTAAGACGAGATTGGAAGAGAATAAAGGAGGTGATGTTGAAAAACACACGGAAAGCTGGAAATGAAGAACAGCATTGTTTCACGCCCAAAGACTTGCTTCAAAAAATATTTAGTTTACGTCATGTAGAAATTTATGTGAGGCAACAACAACAACGAGGAGCTTTATTTTGCATGACCATACGAGTTCATATAGTATTGCAAAAGCTATTTTAAGAATCAAAATTACATCATAGGGAAATTACGTTACTTTGGCAATAATTTGTCACGAACATCAAAGCAAGCTGAAACATATTTTATGAATTGTATATTGATAAAGTAATTAGAGGAGTTCATCAGCTCTTTGATCAAAACGTTTACAGGTGACTGGGTAATATGTGGAATCAGAGTCTTGATTTTATATTAACCTTTATTATGGGGTACAAATACATTTCTAGCCTGCGTAGCAAGCGTTTCCGCTCGAGTTCGTCGAGAAAGTTGGGAAAAGAGCAAAAAAAGGATCGGAATGACGAGGGAGGGGAAGGGAAAGTTTCCTCTTCTCCCCTCCCCCTTCCACCTTTTTTTTATCACTTCCGCTCTAACTTTCGCGCAATAACTCGATTGGAAACGCTTGCTACGCACGCTAAGACATTTCCACACTACTTGGTTATGGAACATCACCTTAAACATCTAAAGGATGGGGGTCCTGAATGGCAATTATGTTTTTTGTTTATCAAGGAGGAGTAAAGAAAAAAATAATTTCCTGAGAGTTGGGGTTAAAACTTTAACAACTTTATGTGGATTAGATGCGGTTTCTTTTTCGATCAACTTATCACTGAAATTTACCCACACCAATTAGAATGTGAATCAACAGTCAACACCCCCGCCCCCTCCCCAAGCCCGAGGGGCACTTCCTTATTTAGCCTAAACCTGTACATGCCGCTAAACAGTGTATGGTTTGGCCATGCGGGCTGTTAGTCTTATAAAGGGTAGACAATTTCACCACATTCAAAGTTCTTGAAAGCAATCATCTCGGAAATTTGTAAAAGTGGTTGCAACTAGAGATGGTCATTTACGAGGAAAACGACCTTGAGATAAACTTATTGAGAGCGGCCGCTTACAAGGGATTTTAGCAAAAGGCTTGGCATGTTTATACCACATTCAGGTGAAATAATTTTAATTAGGATATTTTCTTATTAATTTGTTCACTCTATGTTAACCAATCATGCCCTATGTTATGGTATAAACCTAAATTTACTCAAGGACTAGTCCTATTATTCATCAATTGTTGACTACATGGTCATTGCTTTCGAGAACTTACTATTCTCCTTCTGTGTATTCTAGGACAAAGATATGACCGGCTTCTACTTGGAAAAAGTTGGCCGTTTTTTTTAATGGTCGATCATGCATGCCACATACCCAACCACCCCCCACCCCCCGTCACCCCACCCGGGAATTCCGGGGACTTCAATTTGAAAATCGTGACGGGGATGCTCGTCGTCTCGCTTAGCGGTAGAAATTGCAGAGTTTGGTTTCACTTAGGGTATTCAGGACGGTAAGCCAATATTTTTACCTGTGAAGGCATTGCTCTGGGCAGGAGCCTATCAAATGGAGCCTCCATCTCCCATACAAGCCCTTGGAGTCAACCCTTTCCCGAGTAGATTTATAATTAGAACGGTTCCCAGGGGAGACTTCGCGTGCCGACGGTGGGAAGAGCCAATCACAACGACTAAATGACACTGCTATTTTACTTCATGAAACAGTAGGAAATCCGGTGCTGACAGGCCAAACAAAATCATAAGCTAGTGAAACGTGACTTTAGCGTTTTCATCCCTCAGAGACACATGCGTAATGATTAACTACTACCTGCAGTCTGTAGTTCTGACAGGATTCGTGTTCTTTAGCCAATTTTTGTGAGCGTTAAGGTTCTTATTTCGGCTAAATGACTCATTATTAATGAAATTTCTAGTTTTTCAAGTTTTTTTTCCGAAATGCGTTTGTCTGAATAAATACTGTGGTTGTCTTGTCCGTCAGTTAGTGTGATGATTCCCTGCTATGTTTTGTAACGCCAAGCTCAGCCATTGTTTTCTCGCAAAAAAGTGATCTACAGATGGGAAAAAATTGGGAATTGGCCTAAACTTCTACATTAATTGCTGCGAATTCTCCTGTTAGTCAGTCATAATTCTTTTGGCGCAGAGAGAATCCATTTTGTTTTTCTTGAGATAAGAGGGTCTTTGGACTGGAGCGCGATGTCACAAATTCCACCGTTAGCAAATTACTTTTGAGTTAGCTTTACGGTCGAGCAACTGTTGTCTTCTGTTCAACTTTTCAAGTGCCAGTTTTATCAGGCAACTCTCATGGTGATACAAGTCAGTTGTAAAGGAAGACTTCAATTTTTCTGAAGCATTCCTCCTTAGTTGCTACTTAGGTCATCGCTTTTGCACGCGGTGCTTAACTGGCGAAATCCACTCCACGGCGATGACAAAAACCAAATGATCCTGGCACTTTTTCTGCGCTGATAATCGAAAAGCTTCAAATCGTCCACAGAACGCTTAATCCTCGACTCTTTTCAAGGTGCATGCTTAAATGTGGGATGTATGACGGCAAAAAAAAACAAAAAAACAAAATAGAACCTTTCCGTGATCCTCAGTTCGCTGCCTTTGTCCCATCGCTTCATGCTCAGTCTCAGGCGGGTAATTTATTAACTTTTATTTCATCCCAGATCCCAGCGGCTGTGAAACTGTAAAAATGGACGTATAGTAAAAAAGGAAAACGGTCGAAGGACGGGCTTCTGAGTTGGACTTCATCCAACTTCATTTTTTTCCCGGTGACATACGAGACTCACGGAAATATGACACTTTTCGCGGGAAACAAGCCGTTCTATTTATAAATCTACTCGGGAAAGGGTTGACTCAAGAAATTAATGGAGATGGAGGCTCCATTTGATGGGCTCCTGTCTGGGCTAAGGACAAATAAATAGGTATATAAAAACAAACAAATTTTGTCTCCTTTTGGAGCCAAGCCAAGATTGGTCTCCTTTAGGGGTTAAATTCTAATTTTCCGACTAGCATACGCTTCCTTTTTTAAGGAGAGTTCCCACCCTCCACGTCTCCGTACTTTCTACAGATAGCGTGACTGTCCAAAATAGCGTGACCGTCTGTATTATCGGTCACGTGATGGCCACTTTCTTCAGATCAAGTTCCGCTTCTTCATCGTACGGTACTATCTCATGCGGTATTAAATCGAATTTCCTTGGGTTCTTTTGGGCAAGGTGAGTAATTTTTCCTTGGTTATTCGGGTTAACATAGCCACAGAGTAATCCGTGCAAATTTGCTTTGTCTTAGTTTTACATAATAGGAAGTTTTGTATGTGCTGGCCGTTTATATAGATCTACTTGTTATTAAAAGCCGAATGAAGAGTTTTAACATCGTCGTGTTTGGTCCGACTATTTGATGGCCTCGGCATAGGTAATTATTGCCACTGTCTTGAGCACTGTTCGTTACGTGGTGTAGAATTTGTGGTGAAGAAAAGAGTTCATTTGTTATGACTTTCTTGTTCTTCGAAACCGTTGTAATGTTCGTCACCAGACAACATTTGAGGCGAGTTACACTTCTTTTCGTATGCAAGATTAATTAAGACTGGATTATCATGACCGCTTAAGGTCGCTCTGTCGCTAAAAATACGTGCGTGCATAAAGGGGTCGTTTCCCCTACAAAGACATGTTCAATCGTTCTCAAATGTCCAAAGTTGTATATAAAGCTAGTTGTTGGGACTATCATGATTTCTGCATTGGCAAAACCAAACGGAGATTGCATGACAAAAAAACTGAACACTTCAAGGCAATCACCAGTAACAGTCATTCATCAAGAGCACCCAACGACTGTTTTCTGTAAAATATCTGTTCGAGAAGCAAAAATTCCCTAGAATTTTCTACAGCTTGAGGAAGGCTAAAAATTACTAGACGACCGTTCCATTCATAAGTCATTCATGTACAATTTTAGAAGCATATCTAATAAATTCCCTCAGATTCAGATCGGGTGTCCGTAAGGCGGTGTTGCTTGTACCAAAATTCTAACATAACTCCCAGGCTTTCTGGTCATTTTTTTTATATTTGGTTTTGTTTTCTTTGTGCGCAAGTATATTCTAGAAAAAGCTAGACAATGGAGTTGTCAAAAATTTGCAATTTTGTCCCTGAAGCCTATGAGTCATTTTAGAATTTTAATATATCGCGCGTACGTCGATGGGCTATTCGCGCTATCGGGCTTTTCTCCAAGCCTCCTCCACTCACCCGGATCGCGCGAACTGGCCTGGGGACGAGGCTAGCATGTACACATTCTTCATTCAATCATACCCAAGAAAATAGCCTTAAGAAGGCTGCATGAGCGAATAGATTAACAACAACCTATACGCCTGCAGCCGGAAAATAGAAAATTCCGTAGAAATTCAAAAGGCCTTGAATGATCTATCTATACGTGAATTGAAGTCAAAAACCTCGAGAAGAAAACTGCGCTTCAGTTGATTTTTGGATATCACCTCTCCGTATTCCTGATCTGGACGGAATAAAAGAACTTCAAGTTAATTTTCTTCAGGATCAAAATGACTGTCCTTGAACTTCAATAATAACAAAAAAAAAATGTATGAGCACTGTCGTACTCGTAATTGTATCATCAAAATGACTGTCCTTGAACTTCAATAACAACAACAACAAAAAATGAGCTCTGTCGTTCTCGTAATTGTATCATATGATTTCGTCATGCATTTCATTCCTTTGTGGGTCAGTCAATTCCAAGCGTGCTCATTCTCCCTCGGCGGTGGGGAATTTATCAGTAAGCTTCTGCCCGGGGATGGGACATTTGTCAATTCTTCTACAAGCGGTTAACATCATCCCTTTTTTGATATGTCACTTAAAAATATGCCTATTTAGATAGTTATAGATATTTCTAAATAGAATATTTTTATTACATATGCTTTAAAAAGATATGCGTGGTTTTCGCTCCATAACCACCCTACCCCACAGTATTTTTTGCATCCCTCTGTAAGAAATTGCTTCCCGCCATCGTGATCAGGTCGCTCATGGAGGAAGAACGATCAATGCGTTGTTTGAAGAGTTTTCTTTGTGAGCGAACGGTTGAGGTAGTAAGGCCTAGAAAAAAACTCTGCGAGATATTTGGAAGCTGATATACACTTGCTTTGTGTGACTGAATGGGACAATTTTAAAATACCCCCTGTTCCATCTTCAGGGCGGAAAAACGTAATGAGCATGCGTGAACTTTATGCCCAGGCTCTGGCGGCAAATTTGAAAACAATGGCGGGCTTTTAATTTTTTTTCCCGGAAAACAAATAATGCTTCCCCACCAATCCTGGTAAGTATCAAAATGTTTACCTCGAAATTAGCAACCTATGATAACAGCCTCCCCATATCTAATCTTTTTATAAAAATATCTTACATTAAAATGGACTTAAACGCCATTAATTTCCACGCGCTGTGCTGCAAAATTGCGTGCGAAGGTCCGATTTTTTTCCGGATTCACTCACAAAATGCGCTCATATAAGGAAGTTTCTGGATATATAAGGTCCAAATTCCGTCTATAGACAGGCGAAACAAATATCTTTGTACCGTGATTTGCCCAAGAAAAATAAAGCTTGCCCACAACACGTTTAATGTATTTTTGTAAACACTAATATCTCGCACTCACACGGGCATTTAAAAACCCATGCAAGGAAAATGGCTACTTATCAAATCACGCAACCTTTCTGAGTAAAAAAAATTCTTCAGCCACTGGTATCCATGGAAAAAAGGAAATGGCTTACAAAATGTGGATCAATATAACCTATCCTTTTTTTAAATTAAAGAAAACAAACATTAAAGGGACAGTAAAAACACTTCTAATATCAACCTAGAAATTAGCGCGCGGCACTTTTGTTTATTCATAGAGCGGTCTCGAAAATTGCTTAATAGTTCTTTTGAAAAGATTAAACACAAGTTCGATATGTCTGACACACTTTCATTTGTAGCTGTGCCGGTGCGAAAGCCAACTCTCGTTGTGAGGGCCAGTTCAGGCGCTTGACAAGAGAAGAAGCTCGTGTTGCAAGACTTAAAGAAGGATCACTTTGCTGCTTAAAACATAGGGACGAGTTCCGCAGGAAGAATGGAGATTATTGTTCTTGCCCTTCCACTTGGGGGCACAGCAAAGCGCTAGTGCGTCTACCAATTCGCTTTTACGACCTGTTTGACAAAATTGGCCAAAGTGTTGAAGGCTATAGGCCAGGTTTAAAGTATTGTACCCTCTGCCGTGAGAAAGCTGATGTATTTTTCAGTAGTCACAGTGACTACACTGCACCGAAAAAGAGAAAAACGGTAAGTTAAAGCCTGTAAATAATAATATTATCAAGCCTGGCCGATTAGAAAAAGGACAAGTTAAATATATTTTTGTGAAATAAGGCGGTTTCACAGTGTGGGTAAATCAAATCGTAAACTACATTGTATAAAAGTTTGTCGTGAAACTGATCCCTCAGCGGTCCGCTGCGGTAGCTACCTGTTTTATTTTGCACAGGTTTTTGAAACTAAAACATAACATCTTTTTTATAATATTGAATTGTGGTACGTGGAATAAGGCCCTAAGTGACTTTTCATCTTCTGTTTAAATTCATTCTTTGATTCACAAATATAAAGTAGTTTAGAAAAAAAATCTGACCGTGTCAAAAACCATTTATGGCTTTTTAATAATATCTCCCTTAAGTCACTGGCATATTTACTGGATATTCTCAGAAGTTAAGTAATTTAGTAACATAAATTTTCAAAACAATAAATAAGGTACGCTGGCCATATTTTTTACTCAATGACTGCCACTGGATTATTTCATTTCAAGAATTTATTTGCTAAAATTAATATACATGTATGTTACAGGTCAAAATCAAAATCAGGTGAAATCTTTTTAACCTAGGATGATTCTCAGCATTATTTTGTCTCCTCTCCTACTCTAATTATTCATGAATTAGGACAAGGAGACAAAGGAAATTATGAATCAACCTAGGTAAAAACAATATAACTTGAATTAATATATACATTGCAGTTAATTTTTCTATTTCAGTTAATTCTTGTTTTTCCTTATTTAAATTCATCAGGCTAAGCATACATTACCACACCCAAAAACAATAGAGAAAAAAAAATAGTTATATATATACTAACCTTTAACATATTATGTTATAATATTTTCTGAAAAAGTAATTTTGGTCTAGCTGCAGGCAGAAAAAGAAAATGAAGACAGTGACAGAGAGAGATGGATTTCTGTGGAAACACCATTTGGGATAGCACAAGTTAACAACCATGGGGAAATAAAATTGGACAAACTGGCATGGGACAAGGTAGTTCTCCTCCAAGGTAGGAACAACAAGGTTTCTTATGTAACAAAATAATAATTATTCATTTCAACAAACAAATACATTTGTAAAAGATGCAAAATATATTAAAAAGTGTCAACAAGACCCTTCATAGGACTGAGCTTCTTATACATTACAACAAAATTAAAATTAAATATAATTTACTCACTTTGCCAAAAATGATTTTCTCAGAAGTTGGGTTGGGGGAACTGTGAGTTTAATAACACTGTGCATAATAATAAATAATGTGCTCATTACTTCCTCAGATCAACCTAGGTTGGAGGAATTAATTAAAAGACTTCAGTTGGCCATACATCACCATCAGTCAAGGAATGGACATTCACTGATTCCAGTAGAAAATATGATTGCATTTACAGAGGAGCACACCCCGGGACTTTTTGGAGCAATAATTGACAGCATAACACACGACAAAACAAGTGATGACCGTTACATTCTTCAGGAAAAGCGTGCCTGTGCTATACTTCACAGTCTGGTTTACTACAGGTAAGTAAAAACTAAACACCCAAATGCACTAAAAAAAGTCCTAAAAACCCTTAAGAACATGCAGTCAAAAAAAAACCTCAAACTAGCTTTACCATATAACTTTTTTATTTTTCTATTATCATTATCATTGCAGGAATGTTACAAACTGTGTTAAATAATCAGTTACATATTAAACTAATATTATTACATCACATCTTATCTTTGTATTGCAGATCACAGAAAACAGGTGCCTTCCAAGATGAGTGTGGCATGTTTCTAGATCACCATGGTCTGTCTAAGCAAGGCCAGATGGCTGGTCAAACCTTGGGATTTTGCAAACATCCCAGAACTACTCAAAATAAAAAGAGACAAGTATCAAACGACCATCTGCACACAGTACAGACAGTGTTAACTAAATCTGTAAGCAACATACAGTAGCAGAATAATCAATTAAAGTATAATGATTTATATGATGCTAACAAAAATGGTAACAAAAACTTCTTTGACAGGCATGAAATCCTTAATACATGCCATGTTTTAAAACAGGTTACAGTGTACATGTACCTGTACAGTATTAGATATACCAGGGGTACCCAACGACTGATTTCTGTAAAATATCTGTTCGGAGAAGCAAATATTGCTTAGAATTTTCTTTTGCTTGAGGATGGCTAAAAATTTCTAGACAAAGTCAAACATGCCATTCATGTACAATTTTCAAAGCTTATCTAATAAATTCGCTATGATTCTCTGAAGTTTAATTTTTCATATTTTACAACCCAGCTTACACTATTTTTCTTGGAAAAATGAAACCTAAAATTTTGGGATTCTAAAATGTGATGGAGAGAGGATTCACAAAAATTCTCACTTTCGTAAAACGTTAAATTGCACTTAAAATTTTTGGAGAAATAATACTGAAGCAATTATTGTAACTTCGAAAAGACTCAAGTTCCCCTAGGATGACCAAACAGATAAAAATTTTTCTGGCGCCACTTAGAATGCATTTGTAGAGATCCAAAAGTACTCTGGCTAGCCTAAAAAGTGTTTTCAACGTATTTTGGAGGAAACCGTCATTGGGTGCCCCTGATATACTACCAGTAATATTAATTCTTAAACTGTACAGTTGTATGCAAGTTTCCTGATGAGGAAATTGTGCACTTTTCAGGTGAATGAAAAACCATGCCTTATGATCTTACTCCTTGACGACTTCCACAATATTCACGTCATACGCCAACCAGACACTACTACCACTAGTCAAGCTGTACATATGGCTTCATGTCTTGTGGATGTCCACGACACTTTACCAGCCATTAGAATTCCTGATGCTACAAATGTGAAACTGCACAGAGAAGTCTTGGTAACTTGTGGAACCGAACAACGAATGTGCAGAGGAGGAATCTGTGTTGAGACAGTGCTGAAAGTTCTGGAGAAATTCATGACGGATTACCACCACTCATATCTGGAATCACTTCCTGCCAAGTGTAAAGAATTTGACTCAACTGCAGCAAAAGCATGCCTACAAGAACTCAGGTAGATTATCAAATTAAAGCTCCCCCAAAAAATCAGTTGCTAATACTTCTATTGTACAGGCTCCAGTTGTTCAAGAAATGGTTAGCACTATACACTAGATAAATCTGACACTATCAAAATGTAGTAGATTCATATCAGGGAAACTAATTATTGGCCTACCCAGTGGACTGCAATAGTATTTATCCCATGGATAGCTATCATCTGAGATGGCACAATATGGATAGTGTATCTCCCTATCTATTCAAGCTATCATATTTTTTCTCTTTCTTAGGGTGTACACTGGAGGTGCAGATAAAAGTGATTTTGATTCAATGAGCAGTGTTCTACTAATTGATGAAATGGAGTCAAAACTAAGATCTACTAACGATGTCAAGGAAATCATTAACCACATAATGACAGAGCATACCATTATCAATAGCTACCTGCAAAAGCATGTAATGTTGTTGCCTGGAGACTGGGGGGTTTGGTACAACTTAAAGAAACTAATCTGCACTGAAGCCAATCACTTACCACAGTCGCATCTGTCTATTGTTCCTCTAGTTGGCCAGTTCCATGTTGCTTACAATGCAACCATGGACACAATCCAGTTGTTTCACTTTATCCATGAAGAAGTTGGCAAGCATGTTTTCGGACCCCACTACCGTCTGGCAAAGAAACCAAAGCCATTCCGCTGGTCCCTGCATGTCACCCTCATTCACGGTGGTTGGCTTCTTGTAAGAGATGATATCTTAAACAAATTCAAAGGCTGCAAGTGTCCAGAGTATCTTATGATGATACATCTCTTAGAAGAAGTCAACCCACTTGTCTTCTTTCACTATCCAGTAATATTCAGATCTGGAAACTACAACGCTTTACACTCCTCAATGATGCGCCTCACACTTTTCTTCATCTACATGGAACGCCACCACTACAACAAGTCATCCCTCAGCTGGATAAGTGATGAAGAATACTTGAAACAGCAGCTTCCTGACTACAGAACCCTTCTTTCAAGTCACAGCAATGTCATCACTGAAAAGAAGGTGGAGATCCATCATTCACCTCTTCGCCAACACACTACTTCCCAAAGCACAGCAACACAAATCCAGCAAGTGGCTCGCATCCTAAATGGTCAAAAGTATAAAGGCACATTTTGTCAAGAATATGTAAATCCTTATCAGAGGGGAAACAGTGAAAAAGATCTTACATATTTAATTGGTAAGATTCATTTTCTTATTATTTTTTGTGCCTTTCATCACCAATAATTTGAGTTCTACATAAAAATATTTTTATGAACTATACTTATTGAGTGTCCTCCTAAAATAGTGGACAAATATAGTAGTGTATACAATAGTACTACCGATATATTACTAAATTATCATACAGGTTATTTCTAGCTTTAACAACCAATTACATGTATTACCATACGACCTAAACCTCAGGACCACAAACTAATCACCATTGATGTTTGCAGTTTAGTTTTCTCACACCTTATCAGCTTTTTCCTTGCAACACAATAACATTCCACATATTTGGTCTTCACAGTTTTTTGAAATTCACAGTAATGCTCCCTGGGTCAGTTTTTATTCATTTTCAATTTAAAGGATATTGATTGTCAATGTTTTGTGCCATTTACATCCTAGGTTTGACTGCTGAATACCTGGTCAACAAATTTGAAAAAATTGCACAAAACAAGTCCACTAACCACATCAGTGGAAATGGCACAAATGCAAGGTTCAAGCTCCCAAGCTTTGGCACAGAAGTTGATCGTAAGTGCATGCCATTGGGGTTCAGATGGGGCAGGAACTCAATGCCAGATGACACACTTGAGTGTGACCTTGCCACCTGCAGTCTCACCGAAAGCAGTCCTGTCCAACTGCTAGCATGTGGCCACAGTTTTCATGCTGAGTGTTTGAAAAATGATGGACAGCTGCTACCATGTCACCTCTGCTGGCCTAAATTAAAGAAAGAAGTTACAAAACTTGCGAACAGCTGGAACAAGGGTATCCTCCATCCCCAGGAATCCACACCTTCAAGAGAGCTACCAGAAAACCCGACCAACACAGATTCAAGGACTGAGGATGTCCCGAACGTAGCAACTAGAGAAAGGGGGTATTACCTCTCAGATTCTCTATCTGATGATCTAAAAAACAAAATACAATCATTCATACAGCCAACAACCATGAAGTATGCCAGTGCAGAGGCCAAAAAACGAGAGAGCAACAGAAGAAATCAGCATCAGCAAACCCAACAAGCTCCTGCACAAGCTACTTTTCCAAATCACCAGCAGCAAAATGTTCCAGTGCACACAGTTACTCTACCTACCATCCCATCACAGCATCATGGAAACGTAACATTCTGGATGTTTCCTCCAAACCTTTCACAGTCAACCATACTCCGCCGCCAAGTAGGTAGCAATGCCTGCACTGTTATTGCCATTCTAACAGGTGCCACCTATGCAGCAAATGCTTCCACATTAACCCTTCCACACACAGGAAACCTACCAAGTACATGGTTCCTACTTCTGGTGCAGTCCATGGTAAATGGAAACGAAATTTACGATAAAGCAGCACAACAGACACCAAGAATGTATGGAGTAAGAGAGGCAGCAACCCTTGTGCAGCAAAGAACAAGAATTACCAGTGTCTCCCAAGAGCACCAGTGTGACTTCCAGGCGCCACTTTTAAGTGCCAGACTTTCAAATTTTATAACAAAGCTAGACAACAACTCTGCAGCAGTCAATATTGTTGCCTTACGTACAACAGTTTACTTGAAATCAAACAATGATTTCATTTTTTTTGATTCACATATGCATGAGAATGGACTAAAGGGTGCTGTCCTTGGCAAGGTAAACCATGACCACATTGACGATTTGCTTTTATGGGTGAGAACTGTTAACCAAATGGCAGTCACGCTTGGGACAGTGACAATAGTGAAGTATTAAATAATCAGGCATTGCCCAGCATCAACAGAGACACAACCACATTGCATAAACCCTCCATTTCATGTGCAGTATTCAAAAAGTTGTGCCTAATGTACACAAACTCTTAAAAATAGATCTTTGTATGTTTTGTTTTCCCATTTCAGACCATGTGATGTTGACCCTTAGAAAGGTTGCTTTTGAATGTTGTCATATCCATGTGCATATGTATGCATGTGAAAAGAAAGAAGGCAAATTCCCTTGAGAACAAGTGGTCTGAATTGGGAAAAGATAACAAACAAGCTGAAAAGGTGTACTGAAACACAACATGTACAGGTACATTACCCCAGTGTCAGCATGCTGACCCTTGAAAGGAGAGCAATTTAACACTCTTTATAATGATGTATTTTTCACCAAAGCTCCCTACTAATTCTTGCTAACTACATTTTAAAGCATCTGATTGCTTAAAGCCACCAGTTGTGTAAATTGCATTGTTTATTACATTCGACATAAACTGTGGCCTGCGACAGTGAGATATAGAGATCATAATATCGATTTCAGCAGTTCTCTGAGAATGTATCATTACAGCAACAGAAGTTTAAAGCATATATATTGTTATTGTGAAAATAACAAGAGGTTTAGCTAAGAGCTAAACTGTTTTCTGAAATGGCACAAAAAAAGTACACTTTGCACATTGTTCTTGACAAGGTTTAAAAAACAATCCATTTAAGGTAAAAGCAATCGAGCCAATGTTAGCAAAAAAGTGATGACTATCAAGAATGTCATCTAGTGCATGTGCAATATTGTAAATAGGTGAAATCTTTACATGCATGTAAAATGATTATAAGTTACTGCAACACACAATATTAATACATTGTAAGCTTGGCAGGAATAGACTTTGTCACTGTTTTGGAAGCCATCTTGACGAGTAGGCCTTCAACCGCGTGAGAAATTACAGTGTTTGTCGTATAAGAATCTAATGTCGAATAATTTCCGTGAAACGGTTGTTCTTAAAAAAAAATGAATTGTAAACTAAAGCTTCACTCCCAAGGATTCTACTGAAAAAAAATGAGAGGCGTTACACGAGCTGGAAGACCTATAGCCACTTTGTAATATATTTTATACATTGGTCTGTCAGAAAGTCCCGGGAAAAACTACAGACGTAAATATATGGAAAATCTAAAGCAGGCCTTAGGAGAAATTTAAGCACAGGTAGGCCCCGAAAATTTTTAAGTGCAATCCATTGCTTTGTAGCTTAAAGTTACAACTCATGTTTTTTTTCAGAACAGCCGTTTTACGGAAATTTTTCGACATCAGACTCTCGTACAAACACTGTAATTTCCACGCGGTTGCCTACTCGTCAAGATGGCTCCCAAAACAGTGACAAGGACCGTCTATTGAAATTGACAGACTAGGTCATATCATGAACACAGTCTGGCTTAATGAATATTTTTTTATAATGTTGATATAAAGAGGGAGTTCTGTAAGAGAGAAATATTTGTAGCAGATTGAGAATTTCACTCTATAATTAAGAATAAAAAACGGCTTCTCACCTGATATGAACTATGAACACAATGCACTAGCGCCACCGCAGTTTCCAGTTAATAATGCCAATATTCTCGGAAAAGTGAAGACATTTTGTAGCAGTGAATGTGTTTGCAAATCATGTCTAGACTCTAATTAAATGAGGTAAGTCATCGCAGAAAGCCGTCCAGCAAAGGATCGAAGACAGCGCATGTGGCGAAAGAAAGTCGAATCGCTGGCATTTCATTCATGTGATGAGCCCGCGATAAAAGATGCGCAGAAACCTGCGCAGAACGTTTTTCCGCCCTGAATGTTCCATCGTGATGAGAAAATACTCACGTCAAGCCAACCTCGTTCCCAGGGCTCTCTCCTACTCGGAGGGCGGGTAGGAGAGAACCCTGGGAACGAGGTTGATGTCAAGCTGGTCGGTTGTTTGTTTACCATTCACTATTTAAGAGATTTTTGAAAATAAGAAAGGCATTACTAAAATCTGGTTCAGTCACTGANTCTGTAAGAAATTGCTTCCCGCCATCGTGATCAGGTCGCTCATGGAGGAAGAACGATCAATGCGTTGTTTGAAGAGTTTTCTTTGTGAGCGAACGGTTGAGGTAGTAAGGCCTAGAAAAAAACTCTGCGAGATATTTGGAAGCTGATATACACTTGCTTTGTGTGACTGAATGGGACAATTTTAAAATACCCCCTGTTCCATCGTGATGAGAAAATACTCACGTCAAGCCAACCTCGTTCCCAGGGCTCTCTCCTACCCGGAGGGCGGGTAGGAGAGAACCCTGGGAACGAGGTTGATGTCAAGCTGGTCGGTTGTTTGTTTACCATTCACTATTTAAGAGATTTTTGAAAATAAGAAAGGCATTACTAAAATCTGGTTCAGTCACTGACATTAATCAGATCGATGTGATCTTTTGGCAATAATTAAAAACTAACCCCTAGGAGTGATTTGCGAAGGGTGCTTCACGCATTTTGATCAGATTATCACAAATTTCCTATAAATATGGCATTTGCAGCTTATTTACAGTAAAAATGCAATTTTAATGTTGTCTCGGGATGGGGCATTTACACACCTTTTTAAGCCCCACCGTGAGAGATTTGCAGTCTTTGCAGCTTTTCCAAACAAAATAGTGTATTAGCGTATTAAAATAATCTATTTTGGTTTGATATCCTTGAGAAAATTTCCTTTAGATGTAGTAATTTTATATCCTATAATAATAAAATTAAGACTTCGCGCCAAAAAGTTAAAAAACTGAAAGTATCTAGTTTTAGAAAATGCTAAGTTTAACAACAGCTCTAAGCTAAACGAGCTATCTGATTTTGAATATTTTTTCCCCTTTTTTACTAATATTAGTTAAGAAGGAATAGCGCATAGATAGAGGACATGTGACCTAACAATCCTTCTTGCGATTTGTATCTTCCGTTCGTGCGTTTTCCATCTGTCAAAAATGGCCGGCTGGATTCTCGTCGTAACGAGAAATTCACTGTTCACAAGAACCCTCTAAAAAGGGTTTAAGTCTCGCTTGCTTGGAGATTTGATAAGAAACAAGACACTTTTAAAGTGTTAACTCTTGGAGATAAGATAAGATATGGAGGAGGAGATAAATTCTTAAGGAACCAGTGTTCACAGCAGACGCATTTCTGGTCGTCGCTTCTCTCCCACCGGTCTGCTGTTCGCAGGCTAGTGTGCAGCTAGGCAAAGGTTACACAGTAACTACTGACTGTCTCATGGTACATAGAATAGTCAGACTAAACTTAAACTGGAAAAAGATTATAGTTCAATCGTTACAGTCTATAAAGCTAAAGTGAAAATTTCCAATGATGTTTAGGAAATAATGCTGTAATTTCACGCAATCTCCCACAATCAAAGGCAATACCACGAGGCAAAGATCGAGAACTTGCAAATCTACGACACCAAGGAAACATCGATGAAGACGTCAGTATGAAAAATAAATACACATTTCCCATACTAGAGAACTTCGAAAATAAACAGACTAGTTCAATTTGTAGACTAGTAGTTTCCATTGGCCGATGAAGTGCTGCAAGTAGAGTGTGTGACAGTCAAGTACAATTGTAAACTTATAAACACATCTAGGACGTATACGTAACGTCACACGAGAAGTTGAAGTTGCTTCTAGTAGTTGAAGGTTAAAAATCATTAATATCTCAAGTATTTATAAAAGTCCAGCGCGACCTCACATCTTAACAACTGCGAATATCTATCAATTAGATACATACAACAAAGTGAATCTGCAATGTCGAATCTGTTTAACCGTAGAGTTCCAGTCATTGTGTCAATATTGTGAGAAACGTAATGCCTCAATACAGCACGAAACAGAATTTCCTCCGCTATAATATTTTCACGTCCAACCACGCGTGTATGAATACACGAAAATCAAGGCTGCCTCGGGGAAATATATTACATCATTGCCAAAAAGCCGTACTAGAACGTGATCAACTATGCGCATCACCTCGATCAACGCCGAAAATAAACCACATGCTCATCACGAGCCTCATCTGCATACAATGAAAGTCGTCACGATTCTTATTCCCAGTTTCCACTGTCGCCGCTAGGAAAGCCTGGAACCACAACCGACGTCGTTTTGTGTACTAAATACGAAGGAAAAAAAACGGCTTGCAGATTATGAGTCTCGCTGCTTACGCAAGGGAGACTAATCAAAAATTAAGACTGTACTAGCAGATCAGTCAATTGCTAAATG